GAGGTGGGGCTGGGGCCAAGGTGACACCTGCTGGCACCTCGGTGGTGTGCAGTTGCTGACTCACACCTGGAAACCCAACCTTGGGCCAGCAGGGTTCAGCTGCCAAGCCTGGCTTCTGACCCGCCCGCCCAGGGGAGATCAGGCTGACTCTGCCTGCTCAGAACTGGCTGGGCCAGGGCAGCCTGCTGCTGCCACTACCAAGGTGAAACAGAACCTGCTCCACTTAGCCAGGAGGGGGGTGGGGGCCACTGGACCCAGCCCTAGCTGTGACCACCTGCCATGAGGTTCACCAGGACAGGCCTTTCCCTCTGCCCTACCTGCCCTACCCCACACTCTGACTGCCACATAGCTTGTGATTTGCTTCGTCCATTTCTGCTCCAAGGTCTTGTGGTTTTCCGGAAAACACGATTGCAAGAGGAGATGGGACGGTCATCCGTGCGCACCTATCTAATGCAGCCAGGCGCTCCCCAAGATAGTGCTAAAAACAGCTGCCAACAGAAAACAAGGGCAGCCTGCGCTCAGGCTGGGGACACGGCCCAGTCAGTTAAGCACTTTCTGTGCCAGTGTGAAGGCTTGAGTCAGGTCCCAGCACCAATTAAAAAAAGCCTGGTGGTGTGCCTGGAGTGGCAGCACTGGCAATGAAGACAGGCGGAACCGGGGGGGGGACCCTCAGCCAGTGTCAGGCTCCAAACTGACAAGTCCCACATTCAGTGAGACTCTGCTCAAAAAATAAGGTGGGGAGCAAGACAGCAAGACACTCAAAGCTGAACTCTGGTCTCCACACAGGTCTATGTGTGAACATGTACACACGCACACACACGCACACACACACACACATACACACATACTCACACCACAGGCTGGTGAAGGTATTTTGATTGATGGGAGAACGGCGAGTGTGCACCCTGACAAGGGCAAGAGGCTCAAGGTCTGGAAAGAATAAGATTTCTCAAAACAGCGAGAGGAGCTGGGCATGGTGGTACACGCCTGGAACCCCAGCACTCAGTGAGGCAGAGGCAGGCGGATCTCTGTGAGTTTGAGGCCAGCCTGGTCTACAAAGCGAGTCCAGGACAAGCCCAGTGCATATGATAGCATCCACATCTGTGAGGCTGGCACAGTCATGATGGAAAACGTTACAAATGGCACTTTCCTGTGGGACTTCCACTCTTGGCCAGGCCTGATGCACAAAGGGCGTTTATCCTGCTGATTGACAGAATTTGAAAATGCCACTTCCCAGTCATTGAGGATAAGGCAATCAGGGCGGTGACCCTAGCTGGACCTGAAGCGAATGGCAAATACACGGTGCCCTTTTCAGGATGGGCACCTGGGTGGAGCAGAATCTGCAGGAAGCATTGTGGCCCAGATTTATGGGGTGGAAGGCCAAGGTGAAAGCGCCAGGCTGAGGGCTCTGTAGATTGTCTATGGATAGTTTCTCCTCAGAGGCCATTTTTAGGGGCAAGGAAACTACCCAGGTAAGGAGGAGGAAGCAGCTTCCAGAGCTTTCAGAGTAGAATTCCTGATCCACCCACCGCAGAGCGAGCTTACCATTCACAGACAGTGGGTAGAACACCCTGGAAGGTTGGCCTCAGTGGGGCCAACGTGCTGGTCTCAAAGTTGCTTTGGAGCTAGCTCAGGCTGACCTTCAGGCTTTGGTCCTCCTACCTCTTTCTCCCCTGTGCTAGGATGACATGTGTGAGCCAGTGTGCCCTGTGTGTGTCAAGCTGAGGATGGAACCCAGAGCTTCTTGCACCCTAGCAAACACTCCTTAGTCACACCGTTTACATCCTCTGTGTCAGTCCCTCCTGGAGAGAGACCCCCGAACTCACCAGGCAGGCTAGGCTGGCTGGCCAGGGAACCCTGGAGGTCCACTGCCTCTGCCTCCTCAGCACTGTATGAATGTGGGTTCTGGGGAGATCAAACTCAGGGCCTCACACTTGTGAGGCAGCCACCATATCAACCGAGCCGTCTCCCCAGCCCAGAAAGAATTCTTCGAAGAAGTACTAGCTGGAAACTGCAAATCCCCAAAACAGAGAGAGTGCAGTGAACTCGGGGCACAAGAGTCAAGAAGAGGGTTGCATGATGGCCCCTGAGCACACAAGCCTGCAGTGAAGAGAGACTCCAAGTGCAAAGGAACTTGGTCACGACCATTGCCATGAGAACGGCATCTAACAGACTATTAATAGTGCTTATGTCTGCATAAGAAGGTCTGTGTGGGTTCTCAGGCACTCAACAAGTGGCCTGAGGTTAGGACACTGGGTAGGTCCAGGGCCAAGGTGGGAGAAAATGTTTACAGATGTTTGAACATTTAGCCTGCTCCCAAAATTGATATGAAAGAGTGACAGCTTCTAATGAATCTTTTATTACCCTTATTACCAGAAGAATCTAGTAGAGGAAGAGATGGCTGTCTTTTTTTTTTTTTCCCCCTCTTAGGCCAGGAATTGAACCTGGGTCCTTATATACAATGATCAAGTGCTCTGACACCGAGCCACAGCCCTCAGAAGTACGGGGTGTCCTTTTGGAATGCTGACAACATTGAGGGATCATTGGTGATGGTTGCACAGCCTCGTAAATGCACTGAACTAAACATTCTCAAAGGGTAAAGCTTATAGAGTGTGGATTTATATCTCAGCAAGAAATAAACAAATTAAAATGAAGAAACAGACCTGATAAGAACAAAGACTACATTTGGTTTCAACCCAGTCAGAATGGCAGCCATCAAGAAAAGCACAGCAAGGGTACATGTAAGCAGAGACTGTATACATAATAAATAAATACATTAAAAAAAAAAAGAAAACAAGAAAAGCACAGAAAAGGTTGGCCAGGATGTGGGGGAAGAACCTTGGTTCATTGCTGGAGGTGTAAACAAGGTGTAAACACCCACAACAAAAATCAGTGTGGAAGGGGCTGGGAGAGGAAGGGGAGACATGGCTGTCCCAATGCTTGCCACATTGTTGCAGTGCCTCAGTTTACCAATCCATAGAGTGATGGGATGGTCCTATTTCTGTCCCGTGTACGTTTATGAAATCATGACTTTCAGTTCTTAGCAAGGAACCCTGGCTTCTCATCACAGAATGATGCTAGGTTAGCCCTACTGACATCCTTTGCTTACTCTCAGCCATCCTAGCATTTCCCTTATGTCTCTCTCTCTCTCTCTCTCTCTCTCTCTCTCTCTCTCTCTCTCTCTCTCAGAATGAAGTCCCATAACCATCTGAAACACACTATCATTTGAGAGTTTATCCCTTCTCTGGGACAACTCCGGGCAGAGAAATGTTGACAGGAGGGTGTGAGCTCTATGGGTTTGTGTTCGAAAAGGAGGAGGCGGGTCCTTCCTGACAGTTGTCAGTGTCCAGCTCAGAGCAGCTATCAGGAAGTCCAGTCACAGCCACATATGGCGGCCTTGAGAACCATGAGCGTCCCCCAGTTGGCGGGAAATGAGCAGGAAATGCTTTCGGTTTGTGAAGGGCTCATGACGATTGAGGTGAGGCGGGGCCCACACCTGAGTCCCTTCACTGTGCTGAGTGCAGGACAGGATGCTGTGGGCTCACGTGCCTGGGCTGGAGAATGCCAGGCGTCTATCGCACTGCCTGGGTCACATGACCTGGCTTGAGTTACTGTCTTACAGTAACTCAGGAAGCCCTGGGTTCTCCACCTAACAGAGGAGCAATGGCAGCGTCTTTGTCATAGGGCAGCTGTGTTCATCTAGGGGATGGACGTGTTGATTCTTGTTCCTCTGGTCACGTCCTTCATGATATGACCAGACTCAGAGAGGACACTGGCAGGATGTCAGAGACCATAGCAGAAGCAGAGGAGGAAGGAGATGTAGCAGTCAAAGCCAAGGGCTAGGGGTGGAGGGCGGAGGCTGGAACGAGAGCCCACCATTTCCTACTGAATGCAAGGTGAGATCCAAGGTTCTTGTCCTGACACTGGCCAAACTGGTCATTCCCTCGACCCCTCAGTTTCTTCTTCTGTGTGGGTCCAATGACTGTCTAAATACTTCAGAGAGTGGTGACGGCTGTATGCCATCCCCACCTGGCACCCACTAGGTGCTGGGGACAAAGCTCCTGGCGGGATTGTCTGCCTGGCTGTGACTGTTCACCACCCACTTTCTCCACATGCCATGAAGACATTTGTATAGCCCTTAATGAAACAGACAAGGCGAAGCGGCCACACTCCCCGGTAGCCACTTCCAGTACAAGCGTGCCCGCCCAGTCCCCATCATGTCCCCCTGATGGTTTCCAGGGGGGAAAGCACCAGAATGAAGATCCCCAGAGTCACTGCCCATGCAGCAGCCCCAAGTGCCACCTGGGACAAGCAGAGAAGGAGCCCAGGGAGGGGCAGAGAGGGGAAAGAGAGTCCAGGGTTGCCCAGAAGGTCCTACAGTCCCGTGGGGGCTGCAGGAGCACCTACAGGGCACCTGGCACGGAGTCTGTTTCCCTGTGTGCCCATTACTCTCTGCACGGCCTTTCTCCGAGTCCCGACAATGGACTCGCTTGAGCCAACATGGCTGCATAGACCTCAGGTTCCTGCTCCCTCTCTGAGGCGCCCTTCCCGGGGACCCTCCCAGTCTGTCCCGGCATTGGCATCTGGGTTCTGTTCCTTAGCCACATCGACATAGTCCTGGCTGTTCCCTCTGCTTGGGGTGCTCTTGTCCGGTGTACACTCCAGCACCGCCTCACCCTTGTCTTTATTCGGTCTCCCAGACTGTCCCTCCTCTCCCCTGGCCTGTCAGCTGCTTGCCAGCTCTGTGTCGATACCATGCTGTTACATCATGCTCAACTTTTGGCAGGACTACCGTCTAATCTGCTGGCTTGTGTATTCTCCATCTCTGCCTGGGCAAGGGGATGCCCCCCAGGGCAGAACTCCCATTTTGTCCATCATCTAAGATGGAACTTGGCACACAGTAGGCACTCTGGAAGTCTGGTAAGTGGGTGAATGAATGGATGGGCGTGCAACCTGGGGCACCCCAGACAGTGGCAGGGAGGGCAGGGCGCCACACTCACTGTGCACTGGGTAGGGGTAGGGGCTCTGTCCAGCAGGCGCGGTGCTGAAGCCTGGTCCATAGCTCAGGAACCCGCTCTGGCTGGGGGAGTGATTCAAACTGTCTTCTGTCTTGATGCCTATGAAGGAGACGGAAGCACCAAAAACACATGGTTAGAACCCTTCCCTGTCATCCGCAGTGTTCTCATCAGCTTCTAAACCAGAACTTTAGAGGCGCTAGAGTCAGCTTGTATACAAGCTTGGTGTGTGTGTGTGTGTGTGTGTGTGTGTGTGTGTGTGTGTGTGTTTGAGATAAGGTCTCTTGCATCCCAGGCTTGCCTTGAATTTATTACATAGCAACAATTATCTTGAACTTCTGATTCTCCTGCCTTCATTCCCCAAGTGCTTCAGGCTCTCTGTTTGGGGGACTTGCAGCTTAAAGGTGCTTAGGGCCATGCCTGTCATTGTAGTGGAGGGGCTTGCTGACCCTGAAGCCCCCACCGTGGGAAACAGGTGGGTTCTTGATGTCATTTGAGCACCTGAAACCAGTGACATAACACTTTTCTGCTCTGAGGTGCTGATGGTTAAGGTCTCCAAGCACCCTTCCCCACCCCTGCACCTTCAGTCTCTCCCACTGCACTTCAAGAGAGCTGTTCCTCCCTATACATAACCTGTGAGCCACATCCTCCTTAGCTCCCTCATCGCGTCTCCTGTCCTTGCACTAAGCATTGTCACATGACTTAGTTTGACAATGACCAACGTGGGCTCCTTCGGAGAGTGCTGAGAAGTGTGAAGTCTCTGCTTTTCAAAGGCCAAAGCTGATGGTCTTGCAAATAAAAGAGGCCCGCTGACACAGGCTGGAAGAATCTCCAGCCATGCTCTTTCACTTTTATGTTAAAATCAACCTAGCTGCATCTATCATTGTGCGCCGAGGCATGAAGGGACCGCAGTGTTGGGGGTACAGGGGACGTAAGGCCTCGCTTGATACTCACTGTAAGGGGGGATTCCGTAGGCTTGTCCTGGAGTCGGGTATGCTGTATAAGGTGGTGCCTGCTGGATGCCTGCGCTGTACTGTGTCTGCCCATAGGCTGCCATGGCTGTGGAGGACTGGCCAGGAGGGACACGTGGGTGAGGCCTGGTGGAAGGAGAGATGGTTAAGTCTCCCAGTCCAGCCCAGCATCTCTCCCCCGCATGCTGGGATGTCCCACCATTCTTTTTTCCCTTGGGGATTATGCTTTCTAGAGCAAAAGCAACGTTCGTACACATCACATCTCATTTTGCTTTCTTTCCTCTAGAACCCAAGAAGATATGTTTGCCATCTTCTGTGCAGTCAGATTCTACCCTGGGTCAGGGCTCTATCTAACAAGATGCAGGTGGGCGTGCTGTAAGCTGCTGCCTGCGGCCGGCCCTCCTTCTCCTCTCTTTGGGCAGCAGTGGAGAAGTCACTTGCAGTAGCAAAGCTATAACCCAGAAGACGCTGGATCCCTGTTAACACAGCATGGGAAAGCCTTCTCGAGAGTGCTACCAGGTCCACATCAGACTTCCCATGGGAAACATAAAGCCATTATTCATTACTGTGGCCAGCCTGATTATCTGTCTTTGCATATGGACTTGTGTGTAGGTGTGCCTGCACACGCATGAAGGCTGCAGTGTGACACACGGTATCTTCCCTTACCGCTTCCCACCTTAGCTTTTGAGACAGTGTCTCTCCTCAACTCAGGATCCAGAGACCAAATACCAAATGTCTTCACTCTACCGGCCTCTCTAGATTCAAAGCTGGCTGAACATGATGTCCCCATGTACTTGGGCCTCTATGAACATGGCTGGGAGGACGACGCTGGGCTGGCCTTCTTGTCAAATCCTTCAGCTAAAATCTGTCTACTTCAAATGTATCTTTTAGGCAGACAAGATAACCCTCTGGGTTTTCCTTGGTCTGAAGCTTCATTCTATTCAGGTGTGAATGGAATGAAAACGGGTACAAAGTCCCAAATAAATGTAATCTGCTTTCTAGAAGGTTCCACTGGAGACCCCAGGATGGGGTCTAGAAAGTGTTCAACCAGCCACTGTTGCAGCTCTGTGCACGCCTCTGGTGCAGTCAGTGGTTCTGTGAGGTTTTGTGAGGTGGACCCTCCTGCTGGGCAGAGGTCCTTATTTGATAGAGTTCACATCCTGCCTCTCCATAAGGCAGTTCAAGATGGGAATCCATGCCTGTCAACTCCAGTGTCCGGCTCAAAGCCCACTGAAGAGACTTGGATTAAACCGGGGCTCAGGTTAAAAACCCAGAGAAATGTGGACTGGGGAAGTGGTTCAGTGGGCGAAATAACAAGGATCTGAGTCCTGATTCCTAGGACCCACAGACAAAGCAAGACGGTGTGAAACACGTCTGTAGTTCCAGCACAGGCGAAGCGGGGACTGGAGCTCACTGGCCAGCCAGCTTTGTTGAGTCTCTGTGCTCTAGGCTCAGCGAGAGGCTCTGGCCCAGGGAGACACCTCTGTCTCTGTGCTCTGTCCTCTACACCAATGCATTTGCACTCACACACGCACACACTCACATGACCGCACACACGTGCACACCCCACCCCACAGCTCACACCTCCCACAAACCCTATAACCCTACTTCACACACTTACATCTCACCCTCCACATCACACACACACACACACACACACACACACGCACACGCACACGCACACAGCCACATACCTCGCTGTTCCACACACCACACACCTTACGTGTTCCACATCCTCTGTGTGTAACACACCTATAGGAAGAACAGTGCCACCCTCCAACCTGAGGAAACGGCCCGGGAAGCTTTACTGGGTTCAGCGGCTGCCAACACCACAACCTCTTCCTGAGAAAGAAGCAGCCCTCGCCAAGGCCCTCACCGAGGCCTCTCTGTGGTACTCAGAGAGGGAAATTTCTGCCTGAGGATTCTTGTCTCCCCGGTAGACTGGGAGCCCTTCTGAGGCAGGGCTATGCCCCCTCCTCTCTCATCCGTGGGCTTTGGGACTGAGGAGTCCCAGGTGACTGTTGAAGCCAGAAGAACGGAACAAGTGAAGGATGAAGAAACAGGAGGCAGGGAGACGGTGTGGGAGGGAAACAGCAGGAAGAGGAAAAGGAGGGGAGGTGGAGGTGGGGGAGGAAGGGAGGAGGAAGGAGGGGATACAGAGGCAGGGGAGGAGAAAGGGAAGGGGAGAGAGGAGTCTAAACAGGGAAAGGGAAGAATGAAAAAAAAAGCAAACTCCAGAAAGAAGAGCACAGCAGACGACGCTGAAAGCACCTTCTAAGCAACTGACATATCCATTCACTTTGTGGGACAGCTCGCTCGATGGTCCCCTTTCCTAGATGAGGAAACTGAGGTTCAGGCAGTCAGCTTATCTGTGTAAGGCCAGCTAGCTGTGTCCATGCTGGCATTCCTATTTTGGGGTAAGTAATTCCAGAGTATGCCACTCCCACCCCAGCCTCCAACCTCTGAAGAAGAGAAAGAGTAAGAAGTAAGATAAAAAGGGGGATGTGGCCCAAATACTCACTTGGCAGAGACCTGAGGCGCACTCAGAGAGGCCACTTTGGTGATGCCTGGAGAGACAAAGAAACACGTGAAGGTTTAGCTCCCGAGGCCACGTTCATCACAGACCGTGACTTCAGACAGAGGCTTGAAGAGAGGTGTCGGTAGGGACTTTCTCAGAGACAGGGCGCTGAAGTGCTGTCCCCTTAGCCTGCTCACGACACTCTGGGTGCCCCTACTCCCCAGGTACGGCAGGGAGGCAGGCACAGAAAACACAGAGAGCATCTGGGAACGTCATGTAGAATCCACGCCACCCCGCATGCTGCACAGGTCAGGAGTCAGAAAGTGTGTGCCGGGGTCACATGACCACAGCGGGCAATCAGGAGCTGCAGGATGAAGGCAGAGGCCGGCCCCAAGCATGAGCTGCTTCTTCCTCCCTTTCCTCTACCTCCTCTTCTTCCGTCTTCCTAGTCTTCTCCCCTCTCTGTTCTCCTCTTCCTCCTCTTCTTCCTTCTCTGTCTTTTCTTCCTCTCCTCCCCCTCTTCCTCCTCTTCCTCCTCTCCCTCTCTTTACCCTTCCCCCTCCTCTTATTTTTGTGCAGGTGCAAATGTGTGTACTCACAGAGACCAGAGGACGACCTCAGGAGCCGTTCACTTTGGTTTTTGAGACAGGGTTTCCTATTGGCCTGGGACGAACGGACTCCAGTAGGCCGTCTACCCAGCAAGCCCCTAGGCATCCCCCTGCTTCCACCTCTCCACTGCTGGGATTATAAAGCACACACCTTGCCCAGGATTTTTACCTGGGTCCTGGGGGTTAAATTCAGGTCCTTACCCATGGCAAGCGCTCTACAGACATGTCCCCAGGCCGGATATGACCTGCTGACACTACCTTCCTGTTTCTCCCTCTCCAGTTCTAATTTGTGGGTTTCAGGTCAGGCTAGCTCCAGCACATCCAAGGAAGGCACTTCTTAGCTCACACTGAGATCCTGGCACAAACGTCCTGTGTCACATTCCTGGACACCTGGCAGCTCTCCTGGGGAACAGCTACTGGTGATGATGAAAAGCGACAGACCCAGCCGGGAGAGCTATTTTCTAGGGTGTATTGATCTGGGTGCTTCTCTGGGGGTATTTTTGAGCTTCATCATTTCAAACAATACAACTCCTTGTCTTCAGGCATGGGTGAACTCTGGATGGGGACTGGACATACTCAACCACGGAGTTACTCTTCAAGTCCACTGACTTGGAGCTTCCCTCCAACTCCCTCACTTCACTCTGGGACCTGGTAGCCTCCTCTGCTTCCAGACACAGAAACTTCTCCTACTTGAAAGCATGAGATGCTATCCACCTTTTACCCAGCATTCCCTTTGTGCCAAGCTTCCTGCCAACCACTTTCTCTGCACGGATGATTTCAATTCCTGGGTGAAGAGCCGGAGGCTGGAGAGTGAATCAGTCCAGGCCAATGATCTGAACCCAGGTGGTCCAGCCTTGTGGCCTGTCTCCACCATGACTCTTAGGCCGAGCAGCAGCCACCAGCCTACCTGCAGCAAGTACTCTCTTGGGAGTTGACTGTGGGCCAGGCCCAGCGGGAATGGCTTAGACACGGGGTCTCATTTAATCCTCACTCTAGGACCACGAGGCCGGCAAGCCCATCTTCCTCCCACCCTCTGAATCTGAACCCAAGGGCTACATGAGCCTGATCTCTGCAGTCAAGTCTCCCCTGCTCTGCTGAGTCTCCTTGACCTTAATGTAGAGTCACAGCTGGGCTCAGACACACAGAACTGGTGTGACTACACATGGGTCAGCACACGCTGGTCACGGTAAGAAAGACCTGTGTTCAGCTTGGCTCCACTTATGGATGTGTGTGTGTGTGTGTGTGTGTGTGTGTGTGTGTGTGTGTTTATGGGTGGAGTGATGATAAAAGGTATACTATTTACATACCACACTTAAAAACCCAACAAAGTTAGACCAGCATTGGCTCACTGCCAAGAAGAGTTGGCACCCGCTTGCCTCCCGACACATCTCTTGAGCCTGAGGTCTTGGCCCCAGGCAGGCCCCAACATGGCCTCCTTTCTAGTCTCCCAGGACCAAGAACCACTTGTCTCTGTCTGAAGCAGCCAGTCTCTCTGCTTAAGAATGCAGAGCAAATTCAGAAATCACGGAATTAAACCCTTTTAATATTTTCATTAGTAAATATGCAAATCTATCTGCAAACGCTCCCTAAAGCGGAACCCACGGAAATACTGCTGCGGGCTCCCGTTAGCTCGCTGTGCCAGGCATTTGAGATGAGTGTCTCTCCTTCTGGTTGCCACAGAGTGATTGTCAGGGCAGCTTTGCTGAGGCTTCCTCACCTCCACCTCCTCCCTGAACCCTTCAGTCACCTGCTGCTCCGCTCCCCACGAGGCCAGGCCTCCCAGCTCTTCTGTTCTTCATCATTTCCGTTGCTACCCAGCCAGGAGATATGAGCACCTGGGAATGCAGTGTGCTTTTTCTCTGGCAGACTATGCTTTTGAGAACAGCTTTTAACCTCTTTCCTCCTGTATCACATTTAAATGTGCCACACTGAGGATTAAGAAGGTAGAGCAGGCTCCTTCCCTTTTCCTTTCTCCCCGTGTTCCTCCTGGCTAAGACGGGACGGACTTCCCTGATTGTTGGCTTGTGTCGGGGGGGGGGTGTTGGCATGCGACTCCATGTAGGTCAGAGATTCTGGATTGTATAGGAAGGTGGCCAGGCCTTCACTGGGGACAGAGCAGAACCCTCCATCTCCAAGCTGTGTTCCTGCTGCGCTGCTCACTCTACATTTGTTGCAGCCAAACGTCTGGGACGTGGCTTGCTAAAAGGTCATTGTGGATGAGGCTAGCCCAGGGTGGCAGCCGAAGACACAGGCAATGCTGTGCCAGTCCTACAGGAGGTGACCTGGCCTCCATGAAGCTTGGGTGCTCTTCCCATGTGGGGTGCTCAGTTTACTACTTCTGTCTTTTTTTCTTTCCTTTTAAAAGTCTTTGTGTGTGTGTGTGTGTGTGTGTGTGTGTGTGTGTGTGTGTGTGTGT